AGACCTCCATTATTTGAATGTCAGCAGACAGCAAGAAGCCTCCCAGATCTCCAGATGCATTTGAGATATCAAAAAAGTACTCGAGAGTGTTGTTCAGCATGGGGGTGAGTAGAAAATGAAGGCTAATCATGTTTTGGGTGTACTATTCCTTTAACATTATGTGTTGTCTTCTTTATTCAGAGGGCCCCCTGCCTGTTTTTACCTAGGGCCCCAAATTTCTTAAATCCGCCCCTGCTTAAATATTTATCAACCGCCCGCCCCACTTACATGTGGAGCTCAGCAAGGCTCCATTATGGGGTAGTCTTGTTTTCACTTTACATTCTGACTCTATAGGATCCATATTTGATTAAAAATATATATATATTTTACTTTGATCAGTTAAAGTGCACACTTAGATATATTTCAAACTAAAAAGTAATATATCATATTTCTTAAACTATTTGGATTACATAAAAAATACCCGTGAGAAACAATAACTTATCACAAGAGTTTATTTGAGAATGTTGAGATGTTAACGTATTTGTATTCACATCACAAAAATCATTACAACAAAAATATGTTTGTATTTATCACAATAATTTGGTGGCAAACAGCTGATAAATTACATTTTATACAAGCTTTTTTTTTTTATTCAGACTCATAAAAGGAACAAAAAAATACTATGTGTTGTAATGTTTAATAATGTGTAAATAATGCATCAAAGTGTATGTACTGTTTACGTTTACAGCCGAAAATTCGCATATTTCAATTCTGGTAAAATTTTGAAACCAAGCCTCGAATAAACATTGACTTTGTTACGGCTCCATTGTTTCGCAAATCATTCTGGATTAATGTAGAATAGTTACAAAATATCAGATTAAAATTTTTACAGCAGCTTAGAACATTTAGTCACTCTACAAGAAAAGTAAAGTAAGTATTTACTTTAATAAATTAAAAGAAAGCAGGTTATTATGTCTAAACACCTTCCAGAATGAACACAGCATTGGGTCAGTCAGAGGCTCCCCCTTCAGGTGACCTCTGGATATACAGACAGAAATCTTTCCAAACTTTGCTGCTGCTGATTTACTTCTTTCAGCCTCTAGAGAGTGTTGTCTGTTCATAGTTCAGTAATGCTGCTTTATTCAGGAGGTCTAGAGTCAATCATTAGCAGCGATTCTCACTCCTACATGGGTGAAAAGGTGCCGTTCAGCTCGTCAGAGTCGAAAGCTTTGTTATCCAGAGCAGTTTGTTTAGGTTCTCCATCATCTTCTCCAAACTCATTGTCAGAATCTTTTCCGCATTTCCTTTTATATATTTGATAAGCTGTGAAGGAAAGCATTCACAGTGAGAAATATGACTTGCTACTTCATACTGAATTCATATGCAAAAAAAAATAAAGTACACTGCCTGCCTGTCTCCCTGTGAAACTTACCCATTACAGCAAAGATTGCCGCTACAAGCTGGAAGATGCTGTAGATCAGAGGGAACGCAAACATGAGCTCCAGGTCTTCAGGGGAGAACGAGAGCTGGGTGATAGTGCTGCACAACTGGGCGTTCTGGAATCCTGTTTCTAGGGCAATCGTTCGACATCTGAAAAAAAGGAGTCATTAAACCTCATTAAAGGGTCACTT